AGAGAAAGGGGTGAGGCGGGGGGGGGGGGGGGGGGCGCGGGAAAGCAAGGCTATGAACAGATGATATGGAATAGAGGAGCTCAAAAATCGAAAATAAAATGAAGCCACTAATATGCAAACGGCCCCGAAGAGAACGAGTAAACGAAAAAAGCAATTTTTCTTTTTTTTTGTCGAGAGACAGAAAGGGAGAATTGTTTTTAGTATAAATCTATCTAACAAGAAAAGAAAAACTTTTTTATTAAAATAATGGTCTATCGTTTTTCTTACTTATTTGTAAGAAAAAAACTCCTATGGATATTTTACTTCATTGTAAACATTTTATTTGTTTCCTTTAGTTATAAAACAGGTAATAGATAAGATGAGCTTACTTAACATTGAATAGATTTTATTTATAAAATAGCTCGTCAATTATATCAAGCCTCATTTATTCCTCAATCATCGGTTTCTACACGTTCATTAAATATTCATCCAACACCAAGTATTTCATTACTAAATGTATCATTTGGTTATAAAGATCGAAACCAATGTTTTGATAATAGAAAACCATCACGTCAAACTCTTTTAAGCATAACTAATCATAATAAACTAATAAATTATCTTGGTTTTGTTCTTCGATCTCATTCATTATTTTATTGTTCGGTTCCAAAAGTAGCTACACGAACTTTACTTAAATTTATTACTTATCTTCATATACGTGATGATTTAATTCCTTTACTAAAAAATCATTCAAGATTTAATAATAGTTTAAATTTTACAAGTAATTTAAATATTTTTAATGTTGCTTATTTCAATCAAATGTTTTCGTCTTCAACTAGGGTAAAAATAATCATACGAACTTATTTTTGTTCTTGTGAAAGAATTACAGATGGTCTTGTTTTTATTTACTTTTGTTTCATTCAAAAATATAGAAGCGGTAAAAACAAGTGAGCAATAGAAGAATAAACAAAAACATCATGATTTTTCGTTCTGACAGTTTCGTTTGATTTGAATGTGTTATTTTAGTACAAAACGTTATGATATTGTATTAAAAAAAACTAATAATTTAAAAATAGTTCAAATTAACTTTTCTCATTCAGACCTATTCATGTAAAAATTCGAATTTTTATGAATAAATTCTATTTAAAATAATGCCTCCAGTGAAAAATACAAAGAATTTTTTGTTTGCTTGAAAAATGTTTCATAACAATAAGACAAAAAAAACAATTTATTTTGTTCTATTGAGAATGTATTTCTAGAAATATTATCGTTTATTTAACTATATATTGAAAAAAAAACGATTTTAGTTACGTTTTACTTATTAATAATGAGTCAGATTGCCCTAATTTTATAATTATCTATCGAGAACTTTCGCATAATTTTTAAGTGGAATAAATAGAAGAGAACTGGTTTTTATTTTATCTAAAAAATTTTAGAAGAATTTTCGGCCATCCACAAACAATTCAATTTCAATTCTTGAATCATTTCTATCACGTCTCATGGTATTTAATAATACAATTTCAACAAAAATTGATTTATGGTCAATGTATCAAAGAAGAAGTCTTCCTCTTATCCGTCTTCGTACTTTATTGGATCCATCCATACTTTTTTCATCAAATTTTACTCGTATAATTTTCGTTCGTCATCCATTCGAACGTTTAGCATCAGCTTATGTTGATAAAATAGCTTCGCTTAAAAATGAACCATTTTCATTATATGATAGTTATCGTCGAGTAATTTGTCGAAAATATTCTTCGTTTTATTTAACAAAAGCTCAAAAAAAATTTTATCGTATCGATAAACGAATATCAAACAAAATGAAAGAACCTTGCGAAAAAATAGCTCCAACATTTGAACATTTTATTCGTTTTTTAATGTCTAGTTCATTAAGAAGCGATGTTCATTGGCAACCTTATTCAAAATTATGTCATGTTTGTTTATTTAAATATAATTTTATTGGAAAATATGAAACAATGAAAGAAGATTTTCAACGATTAAAATCAGATCTTGGATTAACATTATTTAGTTCAAAGGATGAAAAGTATTTTACGACGGGAAAAACAAAAGAATATTATAAATCATTGTATGCCAATTTACCTAATGAGTTAATTTGTAATTTGAAATATTTTTATGAAGATGATTTTAAATTATTTGATTATCGATTAGAAGATTATTTGACTGATCAAACAATTATTCAATGTTCTCCTTAAAACAAGCGAGTTAAAAAAAAGAATCAGAAATTAATTTTTTTGTGTTAATTGATTTTTTTCTATATTCTAGTTTTTCAAATTCATGAGGAGTATATAATGATCTTTTTCTATCACAATAATAAACAAGTTTCGAGATGTCGCGTATGTTTCGCGAGGAGAAAAGTTTTTCTTTCTAATAAAACAAAAGAAACATATTTGATTTCACTTGGAAAATAATGAAAATTTTCCATGGCTAAGAAAGAGAGCATTGCATGTTCGGCAGGCTCTTTCATGAGCATAAGCTTTCTCACAGGGCTGCCAAATCTCCTGGATTCAGGAGCTGGTTTTTAATATTTTCTCCGGGTTTTTCCTGTTTTTCTGATTTTTTTTCTCACCTTAAATTTTAGCGACAATTTGAATTGTTAAGACAATACAAGAAAAAGAAAAGACGAGAAAAAGAGAATTGTCACAATATTTGAGAGATGTAACAATCTACAAGCAACATCTTATTTTTCTTGATATCACTAAAACTAAGGTTGTCACTTCCATAACTAAAGTCTATATCAAGAACTTATACACTAGATAAAAAGAAACAACCTTTTGAGTATTTAGCGAATATTATAGATGGAAGAAGAGGAAATCAATGAAGTTTCAAGTTCATCAGATGAAAATCTTTCGTCACAATTATTAGCACAACTTGTGAAGAATTTTGTATCTGTTTCAGTAAAACATAATTCGAAATCTGCTACTACTTTATGATTATCATATATCATAGTAAGTAGAGGTTACCTATCAAATTTCAAAAAAGAATGATTATCTAATTCAAAATATTCTTCATTGCATAAAAACTATAAAAATGACGAAACAAAAGCTTTGTGTTTTTTTGTCATGTACGATACTCAATCAAATTAGTGAAATAACTAATATAAATAACCCAATGAAACCAAAAAAGCATCAAACCTATGTCCAGTCAACTGAAGTCAAGAGATGTATAGACTCATGTCAGTTTGTAAATGAATTTCATTTTGTATTTTATTTGTATATTTTAGAACTGACACTGAAATGACTAGTAATATAGAGTTCATGTGATTATCTTTAATTTCTTTTATACAAGACTCATAGATAAATTTGGTCATCAACAACACGGTAGGAGAAAATATCTATCAATTACGTAGAAACAAATTTCAGTTTTCTTATAAACAGAATAGCTAAACAGATTCCTGCTTTCAATAAAAGTTTCCTGATTTTTCAGTCAAAACCTTCTGTCAACTCCTGAGTTTTATGAAAGGAACTGCTACTGTTTGAAATTTGGACTCGATAGCCCTATTCGATATAAACCTTTCTATGAGAAAAGGAAATAAAAAGTAGCCAACCATGATAGTGCTGATATATTCATCGTATAAAAGAATGTCCAACATATGCCTGNGATTTGAGTATTGAGTTCAGTAGATAAAATGAATCCAAGAAGTTTATCGAAAGTGAACACATGGATATTTCATGTTGACTCTCTTAACGTTAAAATTAATATGACTGAGAGAGTTGATCGTGTTTTCATGAGTCGGCATTTTACTTTTCATTTTTAGCTAGACATAAATATCAAAGCGAACCGAATACTTTTTTTTATATCGCATAAATCTGGAACATAAATCATAATGAAGCATAATATAGGGTAGTCCAAAAGTAGCCCGACAGTCTTTGATTGTGAATTACTTTTGATAGGAACCTGACTGAGAGCTCCGATTTTCACCGTTCAAAAGAAGAGATAAAGACGCATCGAACTGTATAATATAAGATAATTCGATCTAGCTTTTTCATCCACTTGAATCGACGCTTTTGAAAACCAATGTACTGAGTAAGCTGACTATACTGAACTTTTTATGATCAGGTATGCATTCGAACTACTAGTCAAAATTACTCCTTCAGAAGTTATAGGTACTCTACTCGAAATGATGAGCCGATTTTTCTACTAATTTTTGTGAAAAGAACCACTTTTTTGCAGCTTCCCTATTTGATAAGAAATTATTTTCCCCGGAATTTTTTTTAGAAAATTCATTAAGAAAACATCTTAGAAAAACCTATAATACCTGACTCAATGCGTCTTTATCTCTTTTTCGAACAGTGAAAACTGCAACTCTCCATTTTGTTCATATCAAAAGTTATTCGCAGTTAAAGACTGTTAAGCTACTTTTTGACCACCTTGTATATATCATATAGGGGGAGCACGCTATAGAAAGAGGACATGAAGTAGAAGAGTTCATAAATTGAGAAAACATGAAGACATTAATATGCGAACGGCCCCGAAGACGACGAGCGAACAAAAATTTTAAAAAATTCTTTTCTTTTTTTCGAGAGACAGAAAGGGAGAATCTTTCTTTAGTATTAATCTGTCTAGTAAGAAAAGAAAAATTTTTTTATTAAGGTAATGACGTATCGTTTTTTTTACATATTTGTAAGAAAAAAATTCCAATGGATATTTTACTTCATTGGAACTATATTATTTATTACATTTATTTATAAAACAGGTAATAGATAAGGTGAGTTTATTTCATATTGAATAGATTTCATTTATAAAATAGCTAATCAATTATATCAAGCCTCATTTATTGCTCAATCATCAGTTTCTACACGTGTATTAAATGTTCATCAAACACCAAGTATTTCATTACGAAATGTATCATTTGGTTACAAAGATCGAAGTCGATGCTTTGATAACAGTAAACCATCACGTCAAACTCTTTCAAAAATAATTCGTCATAATAAAATAATAAATTACCTTGGTTTTCTTCTTCGATCTCATTCATTATTTTATTGTTCAGTTCCAAAAGTAGCTACACGAACTTTACTTAAATTTATTACTTATCTTCATATACATGATGATTTAATTCCTTTACTCAAAAATCATACAATATTTAATAATAGTTTAAATTTTACAAGTAACTTATATATTTTTGATGTTGCTTATTTCAATCAAATGTTTTCGCCTTCAACTAGGGTAAAAAGTATAATATTAAATTTGTTCTGTTCTTCTGAAAAAATTATAGATGGCCTAGCTTCTTTTTTTTGCATTGGTTTCATTGAAAATTATAGAAGCATTAAAAAAAGTGAGCAATAGAAGAATAAACAAAAACAACATTATTTTTCGTTCTGACAGTTTCGTTTTATTTGAATATGTTCTTTTAGTACAAAACGTTATGACATTTTATTTAAAAAAAAAACTAATAATCTAAAAATAGTTCAAATTAACTTTTCTCATTATGATCTATTCATAAAAAGACTCGAATTTTTATAGAAAAATTCTATTTGAAAAATGTTTCATAACGATAATAATTAAAAAAAAAATATTTATTTTTATTCCATTGAGAATGTATGTGTAGAAATATTATCGTTTGTTTAACTATATATTGAGAAAAAAAAGCTTTTAGTTATGTTATGAGTCAGATTGAACAAATTTTATATTCATCTATTGAGAAGTTTTAATTACTTTTAAATTAAATAAATAGAAGAGAATTGATTTTTATTTTATCTAGAAAATTTTAGAATAATTTTCGACCATCCATACACAATAAAATTTCAATTCTTGAATCATTTCTATCACGTCTTATGGTATTTAATAATACAAATTCAAAAAAAGTTAGTTTATGGTCAATGTATCACAGAGGAAGTCTTCCTCTTCTCCGTCTTCGTACTTTATCCAATCCATCAATACTTTTTTCATCAAATTTTACTCGTGTAATTTTTGTTCGTCATCCGTTCGAACGTTTAGCATCAGCTTATGTTGATAAAATAGCTTCGTTTAAAAATGAACCATTTTCGTTATATGATAGTTATCGTCGAGCAATATGTCGAAAATATTTTTCGTTTTATTTAACAAAAGCTCAAAAAGATTTTTATCGTACTCATAAACAAATATCAAACAAAATGAAAGATCCTTGTCAAAAAATAATTCCAAAATTTGAACATTTTATTCGTTATTTAATGTCTGATTATTCCGTACGATATGATGTTCATTGGCAACCTTATTCAAAATTATGTTATGTTTGTTTATTTAAATATAATTTTATTGGAAAATATGAAACAATGAATGAAGATCTTCAACGATTAAACTCATATCTTGGATTAAAATCAATTAATTTAAAGGATGCAAAGTATTTTACGACGGGAAAAACAAAAAAATATTATAAATCATTGTATTCCAATTTATCTAATGAGTTAATTTGTAATTTGAAATATTTTTATGACGATGATTTTAAATTATTTGATTATCGATTAGAAGATTATTTGACTGATAAAAGAACTATTCAATGTTCTCCTTCATATAAACAAGCTTTTATAAAAAGAATTAGAAATTGATATTCTAGCTTTTCATATTCATGGAAAGTATATTAATATTTTTTCTGTGTTTGGAATTATTCATTGTCTTGTTCATGACTAAACTTGAAAGTCTCGAAATAAAGTTTCGTCAGTAACATTATAGAATCGTTGTCAGAAGAAGGTTCATGTGAATAAAAGAATACATAATGTATGTTTGGTTGATCTGAGTCGAAAACTTAAGAAACAAGTATAACTACGACAACCAATATATTAGAAAATATTGTGAGTTTTTTACAAATAGAAAATCTTTTCTTTGTAAAAAAAACCAAGAAAAATATTTGGTTTCGTTTTGAAAGAAAAACGAAAATTTTTCATGATTGAGTATGAAAGCATATTCGACAGACTCATTCATGTGTGTAATCTTTCTTATCAAATACTAAATGTTTATCAAACTATGAATATTCATTTGAATTTGCCCATATATCAGTTAGAATTATTGAATCAATCTGTAGAAAAAATAATCAACATTTTCATTTACGCTATTCGATTTTCATTTCACGTAAATTATAGAATGAGATTCATGTAAAAATAGTCAACGTTTATAATAATATCTATGTTCAATATGAATAATAGTTTGCTTCAATCATCATAACGACGTGCCAGTTCCGAGTTAGAAAATTCTTGAAAAACAGCTAATAGGAAAGAACAGTCNAGAAGTTAATAGGGTTTTGTTCTTACAGTTTTTGTAGAGCTTTCCACGACGCATCTTTTGAAAGAAAAACCAAGATTTTATCATTTGTCTGTGCAGAGATATTCGCAGAACACACTATGTTACAAACATTTTGGGACACCCACTATTTCACAGTATTTAATATTTTGACTATAATACCGTCATTTCTCAATGAAATTCAAAACGTTTTTTTAGCAAAATAATCAGTAAAAAAAGCTCTACAAAGACTAATAAAATGAAAAATTTTCTAAATACTTTGTGTTTTTCGTGGTTGATTGACCATGGAAGTATCCTATAACAACAATATCATTTTGTAGCTTTTTATGTCATTTTTTTCTTAGTACTGAAGTTTGTTTTTCTTATTGTATTTCATATTCAAGAGTTTTTCGAAATTGAACAGGTGTATATATATAATATTCGATCTCTGCTATCCAAACATGTAATTGAATTAAATTAATGTTCTATAGTTTTAATACATGACTCAAAACAAAAAAGTGGGGCGAGACTTTTGAGGTGGACAGTATTTTTGAAAAAATTTTTTTTTATGCTGAAACAGACTTTATTGTTATAAAAAAATTTTTTTACAACAAAATTTTGGGGTGTTTTACAAAAAATTTTTTTTTTTTCAAAAAGTCCATGTCTGCATGAAAAAAGAAATTTTCGCAAAAAAGAAAATTTGACTTGAGGAACATACCCGCACCCACAACTACATCTATACCCTTCGAGTTTCCAATTCCCATTGAGTTTCTGACTCCTAGGAACTTGGACACTGCTGTTCGATATATTGTTGCGAAACCATTTTTTGCCCCGCGGAACTTAAAAAAGGTTTGGCGTTGAAAGGTTCGGCTCATGTATCGAAGGGAAGAACTTTTAAAGTATTGTCGGTGAAGCGTTGACATTTTTGTTTTTTTGCGATAATTGTGATAAAGAAAAACAAATGAAGCTGTACTATAGCGCTCATATTTCGAGCCATGTGATTGACTATGTGTTGTTGTCGATTAATTTTTATTATTGGTGTGGGACAGAACAAACAAAAAGACGGTAGTTTTTTGCATACGAGAGAAAATAGGTATCTCATAAATATGTGTTGCTCGTTTTATTACTGTATATGGATGAATGCGCAAAACTCCATTAAATTCACATTGTTTATATAGACAAGGTAATACTTAGCTTTGACTGATAGAACAACATCGTTACACTGCACTATTCGCCTGGTCGTGGAGAAACAAGATCTAGCGCAGACACAACAATGAAATGTATGTTTTTCGAAAGCTGAGTATGATCATAAGGCCTTTGTGGTAATGAGTATTCAACGGGCTTTTTGTGTCGTATAATAGAACCTGTAAGCTTCTATAGTATTATTTTTCTGTCATTACGATTGTTTTACCCGCGTGAAATTCGTTCCGAAATCGTGCACGAAATGAACAGCCGATATTAATTATTGTAAAGCTACTCTCCTCAAATTGCGTCAATAACATGAACTGTTAATTCGATTTCTGATTGTCAACGTCGAAAAACGATCATCATTCAATATTGTTTTATTCGTTTTTTTGCAAAGTTTTCATTTTTCTGAAAACTAAGTTCGATGCGACGTAAGAAATAAGTGCTACAGAAAATTTTCATGGAAGAAATACTCTTCAAGAGTACCCCTCTCTTTTCTCACTCAAAATTTTTGTTTTTCTCAGTTATGATTTTTGGTGATCATTGTTTAGTTTCAAGTAGTATCTATCTACTGAGTACATCTTGGGGGCCAAAATTGTCTGTCAACGTTAAAAAATTCGAGAAGAGATCAAACTTACATAACAGAAAGTAGCGAAAACTGTGCATTGTTTTGCGCTTTTCTCAAAACAATTTTTCATGCAAACAGTGCAGAAATTCTCCTGTTTCTCCGGTGTACTACGTCCAATCGAGGTGAAACCCTTTTTACACATACTAAACATTTTTTGCAATTGTTAATTATTTTCTTCAAGAACTATTGCTCGATTGATTTTTATTAGCGTTTACAAGAACAGCTCTATTAACAAAACATGCCTTTTTTAGAGTTTGGGTGCGACTGTAGGTATGTGTGGGGTGTGAGTGATCCTAAGATTCCTTCCCTCATCACACCAACATCCATACGGTGGAGAACAGTGTTCCTAAAATGGTCGTAATGCTAGGAGTGCATGTAATTTTTCTGCATCAATTACGGGTGCCAGTGTTCCATTCTCGAGGAATGAGAACGCATCTCATACTTCTTTTTCTAGACTTTTTTAAACATGTCCAAGTGTTTGTACATTTATGTTTCTTTTTTCGCTTGAGACTTTTATATATTTCCTGTTATCAGGAACGAAACGCGAAAGCGACACTCCTAGTTTCAGTTCGCAACTGCATAAAGTGATGAGCGAACAAAACGAAAAATAATGTTGTTTTTCTTTGGAGTAATAGATAGAGAGAATTTTTTTTGGCATACCCAAATCAATCTAATAAAAAAGATTTTTTATTACAGTAATGGTGCATTGCTTTTTACGCTTATTTGTTCGAAAAAAACTCTTTGTATTGATATTTTATTTCATTGGAACCATTTTGTTTATTTCATTTAGTCATAAAACAGGTAATATAAAATGAGTTTACTTAATATTAAATAGATTTTATATATAAAATAGCTAATCAATTCAGTCACACCTCATTTATTGTTCAATCATCATTTTCTACACGTTTATTCAATGTTCATCAAACACCGAATACTTCATTACCAGCTGTATCATTTAGTTACAAAGATCGAAACCGATGTTTTGATAATAGTAAACCCTCACATCAAACTCTTTCAAAGATAACTCATCATAATAAATTAATAAATTATGTTGGGTTTCTTGTTCGATCTCATTCATTATTTTATTGTTCAGTTCCACAAGTAGCTACACGAACTTTACTTACATTTATTACTTATCTTCATATACGTGATGATTTAATTCCTTTACTCAAAAATCATTCAATATTTAATAATAATTTAAATTTTACAAGTAATTTAAATATTTTCAATGGTGTAGTTCTCAATCAAATGCTTTTGCCTTCAACTCAGGTAAAAATAAGAATATCAATTATCTTTTGCTCTTCTGACAGAATTACAGATGGTCTCATTTTTATTTATAGTTGTTTCATTGAAATATGTAATGAAGTTTTCATCTATTTGAAAAATGTGTCATAGCGATAGAAAAAAAAAACACAATTTATTTTGTTCCATTGAGAATGATGTCAAGAAATACTCTCCTTTATTTAGTTGTATATTGAAAAAAAAAAACGATTTTTATTATGCTTTATTTATTAATAATGAGTCATAATGAACTAATTTTATATTTATCTATTGAGAAATTTTGCTCACTTTTAACTTTAATAAATAGAAGAGAATTGATTTTTATTTTATCTAAAAAATTTTAGAATTATTCTCCACCATCCCTAAACAATTCAATTGCGGTTCTTGAATCATTTTTATCACGTCTTACGGTACTTTATAATAATGAAAATTCAAAAAAAGTTGATTTCTGGGCAATGCTTGTAGGGAACAATCTTCCCCTTACTCGTCTTCGTACTTTATCTGATCCATCAATACTTTTTTCACCAAATTTTACTCGTGCAATTTTTGTTCGTCATCCGTTCGAACGTTTAGCATCAGCTTATGTTGATAAAATAGCTTTGTTTAAACATGGATCAGTGTCATCATTCGATCCTATTCGTCTAATAATTTGTCAAAAATATTCTTCGTTTTATTTAACAAAAGCTGAAGAAGATTTTTATCATACTCGTAAACCAATATTAAAGAAAATGAAACAACCTTGTCAAAAAATAATACCAAAATTTGAACATTTTATTCGTTATATGATGTCTACTGGGTTAAGCGGTGATGTTCATTGGCAACCTTATTCAAAATTATGTCATGTTTGTTTATTTAAATATAATTTTATTGGAAAATATGAAACAATTACAGAAGATCTTCGACGATTAAGGTCATATCTTGGAATAAAATCAATTAATCCGGATAATAAAAATTATTTTAAGACGGGAAAAACAACAGAATACTATAAATCATTGTATTCCAATTTATCTAATGAATTAATATGTGATTTGAAATATTTTTATGAAGATGATTTAAAATTATTTGATTATCGATTAGAAGATTACTTGATTGATCAAAGAACTATTCAATGTTCTTCTTCACATAAGTGAACTTTTAAGTAAAGAAATTAGAAATTGAAGTTTTTTTGATAATTCATTTTATCTATATTCTAGTTTTTCAAATTCATAAGAAATATATTATTATCTTCTTCATTGTGTTTGAAATTATTCATTGTCTTGTTCATGACTAAATTTGAAAGTCTTAAACTAAAACTTCTTTCGAAACATGAGAGAATCGTTGTCAGAAGAAGACTCATCTGAATGAAAAAGTACCTAATATATGCTTGACTGATCCGACGTGGAAACTTAAGAAACGAGTATAATGACGGCAGTCAACATATTAGAAGATGTTGCGAGTTTTTCACGAGGAGAAAAACTTTTCTTTCTAACAAGAAACAGCAAACATATTTGATTTCGCTTTTAAAAAAAAACCCAAAGATTTCCATGATTGAGAAAGAGAGTATTGCATGTTCGACAGACTCTTCCGTGACTGTAATCTTTCTCATCAATTAATAAATGTTTATCAAACTATGGATATTCATCTGAATTTGACAATATATCAGTTAGAACTATTGAATCGATTTGTTGTAAGAAAAATAATCAAAATTTTCTGTTTTCACTATTCGCTATTAGCATTCATTTGAATAACTTGACCTGTGCACATTTTAATTAATCGTTTGTGATTAACAAGAATAAATTGATGTAAAAAAAAGTCAACAGTAAAATGAACATCAAAATTAATTAGTACAGTCTTTGACGCATTAGAAGAGCCATCTCTGAGAATTGAGTTTTTAAAAATGGTTTTCGCAGCTTATTAATTTCTTTTAGTATTTGTGTCCATAATAATATCTACATTCAGTATGGATAATATTTTGTTTCCGTCGTCATAGTGACGTGTCAGTTCTGAGTTAGAAAAATCTTGAAAACCAGGTAGTAGGAAAGAACAATCTATTGAAAAATGTTTGTCTTTATTGAAAACATATGGTGGAGCCGCTTTATTGTCTTTTTTGAAGTACCATCTAAAAAAAAATTCTTTCGGTTCCTATGAAAAAAAACTGTTCTCGCGGTTATAAGGCCTAGTTAGTGCAATGCACATTTTCGCAGGTTACGCATGAAAAGAGCTTTCTAGAACAGGAACACATTCGGTAAAATTTCGTTGTGTATTCATTAAAAGGCCTCTTCGCCTTTGCAGTTTCTATTAGAAATTCAGAAACGTTTTTATGACATCCCCCCCCCCCCTCAGAATCGATTTATCATATAGGGTTATCCATTTGGGCTGAAATTTTCAAGAATCAGTAGCCTTAGTGAGATACGTTTCTGATAAAAATTTCAGCCCTATAGGTCAAACTATACCGGATTTCCAGCTGATTCATAGTTCATGTTTGGGCTTCGGCAGAATCGTTATAACTTCTTTGCTACAAGAGGTATAGAGTTCAGGATGGTTTCAAATTAAAACCAATGCCAGTGTAAAGTTTTCATCTGAATAGAATTTTTAAATTCCCTATTATTCATTTTTTTATAAGTATTTTAGTAAACATGTCTCAAAATCGGCATGAAAAGCGATGATCCAACGACAGTAAATTCCACTTTTCTTAACACAGGAATCAAATATAAAAAATCCGTTCAGCCAAAAGTTTACTCTCATCGAGATCTTCAAAATAAAAAGAAAATATCAAGTATATCTTGAACTGGGTGAGAGTTATTCCAATTTTCCAAGTCCGAAACCATGCTTTGAGGAAAACGATAAATAAGTTTAGAAATCGATTTTTTTTGTGAAACACGATCTAAAAGGAGTGTTGAAGTGTTTAGGGGTAGAAATTTGGACCCACTCTCCCTCGCCCCCCCCCCCCCACACACCGGGACAGAGAAAAACCATACCCCTCCCAGGCCGCGCCACGGACGTCGGGTGCCCCCCCCAGACCNTACATTTCTTAAAATATCCATTTATATTACATGATCTTAACAATTTAGAACTATTACTCGATTTTGATAATTTAATCTTTTCAAGTAAAGACGAAAAAAGATATTTATTATGTTTTTTTTTTGAATTCTTTCTTTTTATTTGAGGATTTATCAAATCTCAACAAATGAAAAAATGTTTTGAAAGTAGCACAAATGCTTCAATCAATTCGAAAATTGCAAAAAAGGAGTTTCACCAAGGGGGAAGCTACTGATTGAACTCAGCTGAGATACAACCAAAATTGATATTTTTATTTAATTAATGTTTAAGATTTTGCTAATTTATGCAACGGAGTAAAAGTAGGCATTCTATTATACAGTTGTTGAATATTCTTTTTGTATCTTAGAACATAGAATATACTTTTTACTGTTAAATTAAGTTAGAAAAACACGTGAGTTAAAAAAAAAGGACAGAGTCTGCGGATAGTTTTTCTTTGGCACTCGCCCAGATTGAAATGAAACAGAGAGAAAGAAAATTAAATATATGCCCTGCATCTAACTGAAACAAAATTATTGAAAATACTTTTATTGTTCTTTAAATCGATTATTTTCATTTGAACATTGCTTGACTATAAGAAGGGATGGCATGAGGAGGCCAGAACAGAATGGGGCTTTTTCAAAAATGAGAGAATAGTGGAAATAAACGTAAAAATACCTGGAAGCTGTCGAAATCAGGAAAAAAGACATAACGTCAAGCTTTCGCTGCATTAAAAAATCACAAATGATTGCCGATTTCTATTGGTTTTTATAAAATAATTAAAGATTTAAATGATTTTAAAAAGTCTCGCATTAGTACTGACTCTTTGCTGGGCTGAGAAAACAATATGTCACAAAATATATAGAAATCATGATTTTCACTCATTTTGCGTGAAAAAAAAACGAAGAAAAGGACTGCCTTGTGATGAAAGGATATCAATTTTGACTTTTCCCCTTTTATTGATAAAAGCTAACATTTCCATTGGGGACATTACCACTCTTTAATTTTTGATCTAAATCAAGATATTGTTTCAATGAAAAGATTCCTTTTCATGGATTAAACTGCAAAGCTAGAAATATCACTTACGTTTCATCATTTAAATTAGTTTTTCTTAATTTTTCAAGTCACTACACTAGTGTGTAATATTAAACCTGATATCTTAGTTTTCAGTTCCTCCTAGTGATAAGAAACCAAGGAGGAAACAACTGATTTAAATCATTCTGAAATCAGTCAAAAGTCATAATAAATCAGTTAATTTTTTGTGAGTTTGGATGAGTTTCGACGAGTGCAAGTGGCTATTTCCGATTCTTTGTTATTTTGAATAATTTCTACTTATGTTCGGCGACTTTTCATTTTGTCAAACTCACCCTAACTCTGACAAATGCATAAATCGCTGTTTCTCCTTGTTAGAAATTATTTCGAATTCAGTTCATAAAATCTTTTTTTGATCTCTTTTTGCCACCGAAGGCGACGAGGGCTCATGACCATTGTTAATCAATTTTAATTATAATCAGAATCGATAGTCCACTGTTAAGCTACTTCGAAATTTGTAGGATATTCGAGGTTTAAGTCACAAAGTCAACTGTGCCTTCGAGTGAGCATTTTTTCAACCTTTTTGCCGTTTTTGATCATTAATAAAAGCAATTAAGTTGCGCTTCACTGTTTTAGAATTTAAGTAAACACTAGGAAACTGTGTTGTCAAAAAAATTCAAAGTTTTCTGAAGAATTCTCGATTTGACATATGTAACGACCAACTTTCAATAATTTCTTTTGCTACCTCATTGAAAAGATAGTTGTAGTAGTTGAAATAGTTACAAATTCAAGGAAATTATGATCGAACTCTTTCGAGGTTTACTAGAAGGGTCGCAAGCTCTTACAACTGCGAGAAAGAGAATCTCCAATCATTGATATGAAAACAAGAGACTTGTGAAGTCAAAATCTCTGAACTACAGAAAAATGAATTTACTATGTCTTTCCTTAAAAAAGGCAATGAATCAAGACTGTTCATGAAAATAAAAGGTAGTCTAATACATAATGTCTTCAAATTGAAAAAAGTTGTAACTGAACAGTGCTAAATTTGGAGAAAGTTAGGATTAATTTCTTTCAAATTGGGGGAACATAAGAGTTAAATTATCCCAAATTGGAAAAAAATTGTAACCAAAACTTCTCAAAGTAGGAGGAAGCCCTTTCTCAACCGCTCGTGTTGCTCTTGGCTATAACATATATTTTATTTCTTTGTTAGATAGAATTGCGCTGTTACATTATTCACCATGCTTGAATTCATCCATGCTAATACTTATACACTTCTAGTGAATGTATTTGGTTAAAAAATATGTAGAAGGAGAAAGATTACAACATATCTATAGATAAACATGGTATAATATTAAATATTCGCAACAAATAAAGCCAACTTATTTTCAAATATATCGCTATCTTTTTTTCTATTCGAACTCAATTTTTCAGGAATGAGGTAATCAATGACCTCTTTCCAGTATAGAAAACAGGCTGAGTACAGTAGATACAAATTCTGTAGAATTCAATTATTTTGTTGTACAAAAGATAAAAAATAGTAATAAATCCTACATTTTGTCTACGAGAGAGAATGATTTACATTATTTTAAATCACACAAACTCATTTTAGATCACTAAACTCAGCTAAACTCATTTTAAATCATCAAACTCACCTAAACTCATTTTAGATCACTAAACTCACCCAAACTCATTATAAATCACAAACTCAAAACTCGTAGTTTTCCCCTTGGATGTAGCAGATGTTCTCAAGTTATTTGAAAATCCATTGTTCTTGTGTTGAACAAAAGTAATTTCTTTGAAATTTTAGCGAGTTTAAGCACGTAATTCATACTGAATAATTACAAAATTTACGTCTTTGATTTTTAAAATAAATGAGATGTCGTAAGAGAATTATCAAGTAATGTTTTTACAGCTAGCATTATGATCTTAAGTTGTTTTTTATGAAACAATGTTACTCTTGAAAATACAAAGAAAATTATATTTAATGACCAATACTTGATAATTTGACCATCTTCCTGATCCTTTGCAAGGTGTCGGTATAGCGAAGCAAGATTTACATCTACAGCAATCATTTCAATATTGGATTAAATCGATTTTTTTCTGATAAAATAAAACAAAACAAAATATTTTCTTTATTTCTTTATTTTTTTATTTTTTTATTTCTTTTTCTTTTCTTCTTTTAATCTTTTTCTTTTTTGTCCGACATCAACGTCGGTCCCCTTCTCCACGGTGACGACGTTGGAGCAGATGTGGTGGTGCTGGTGCATGTTGTTGAGGTGGTATATGCTGTTGAGGTGGTATATGTTGTTCAGGTGCTTGTCCTTGGGTACGCATAATTATTTCACCAATATGTCTGGTTATTGCATCGTAGAACAGTCCCAAGACGAAACCGAGGATGAAAGGAATGACGGAGACGAAGACCAGAACGGTAAACAGGCCAAACATATCGAACCAAAGACCATCCAATATCATCTAGAACACAAACAAGATTATAAGTGATTTATTTCATGATAGACACTTATGACCGAGACTAGGATAGAATGCACATCATCGCTATTTCGAATTCTTTCTCTATACTAACTTAAGTATTCGGCCACGTGTCATTCAATATGATAGCTCTTCGTCGTGAAAACGAATATAAATAACAAGCGTTTGCAAAAGCCATGTCAGGCGGTAAAAAATTTTTCGTCTATCTTATGAAAACTGGTATCACGGAGAATACCAAGAAATGATATGCAAGCAATTTAGTCAAAAAAAAAGAAAAACATAAACGTTTATGTTTATTTCTTCTTTTGTCAGCTTGAGAAAATAATGTCATCATCAATTTGTCGTTATCAATTAAATCCATCTAAATATCAACATTCATTTTCATCTCACTTAATATATCTGTTTTTATTATTTAATGAATATGATTATTCGATTCGAATCATTGGTGGAGTAGTTCGAGATATTTTACTAGAGTGTTTCACCACATAATATAGATTTAGGAACAACTGCAAAGACAAATGATATATTAAAACTTATTCAAAGTGATTCAAATATTGAACTTGCTTATACACGTGCTGAACATTTTGGAACATTAACACTTGTCATTGTTGGTACAATTGTACGAGTAAGTTAAATAACTTATTAGAGATACAGATTTTTATTTATTTTTTTGTTATAACAAAAAAAAAATCATTTCAACTGATAACTTTAAAACGATTAATTATTTGTGATGGTAAAGATATATCTATTAAGTTTACTGAAATAATTGAATTATTGATAACAAACAAAGAGGTTTATCAATAAATAATTTATCCATAGATGAACATGGAATCATATATGATTATACAAATGAAATTAATGATCTAAAAATGAATCGAATTCGTTTTAACGAAAATATTATTACTCGATTAGAAGAAAATTCTATTGGAATTTGACGTTATTTTCTGTTGGATTAATTTATTTTCATAGAATAAAACAAATCTTTCTTTTTCGATTCTAGATTCTTCGGTCGCCTATCATTTGATCCATTTGCACATGAATCTGATGTATTTAGAAGCTATTTAGAAATATGTTACGACATTAAACGGTATAAAAAAGATTTTTTTATGATCTTTTAGACTAAATAAATCTAGTAATTATAATCATAGATGTTTCTGGTGAAATGATTTTGATTCAATTAAAACTTATTCTTCATAATCGATTCGCAGGACATATAATGAGAACAATTCTTGAACAAGAATTAGCCCTACTCTTGAGTGCGCGAAGATCTTTTTTTCTCTAATTTATTATGATCATTTATTTGCTATTAAATAGGTTTATCTGAATCACCTGAGAAATGTTTGAATTAGAAAATTGATGGTTGAAATCTGTGAATTATCAATCAGAACCCATGATATTACTTGTTACACTTTTTAATGATCAAGAAGAGGTAAACTCAAACGGAAGCCAGAAAAAAAGAAATAATTTTTTTTTGTTTTAGTTTGATATATTTTGTAAACGTGTAAAATGTTCATCACGTAATACGTAAAAACCTTGGTCAATTTTTACTTGATTATCGTTATTCACTTTAACCAATGGAAAACAATAATTTATTTTATTCATATAAAGAATTTATTATGAATAGTCATCAAAATCAACAAAATATTTGACATCAATATATTATTGAATTACTTAAATGTCAAACTTATATATATTTTATTGATGAGATAAAACAAAGGTCTATGCCAAAAGTTCCTATAGATACATGGAATCTTCAACAAAATAGTTTGATGTTTAATAGAGATTTTTTGATATTTTCTATGACATTTGAAAGAACAATGGTAATTAAGTAAATTTAAGATGACAAAAGAAGAACTTATTGAATATGGATTTCAATCAGATATTATTTTATACCTAATGAAAACAAAATCTTTTGGTTTGTTTTTCTTTGTGTTATTTGAATTTTCTGTTTGTTTTGAAAAAAAAACAAATAAACTTTTTTGTAATGAATTCATTCGTAACGTTAAAATGAAAATTTGATCTTTTTCTTTATTGACCAGAGCTGTTAAATCTCCTGATTTCACTAGGAAAATTCTGTTGTTTTTTTTACTTTTCTGTTCGTGAAACAACTATGAAAGTATTTCATAAATACAATAACCGATAAGAAAGTATAGAATTTCTACTTGAGTTTTCTAAGACTAAAATGATCAATTTCATAATAAAATATTATCGTGAAGATTTGTTTGAACTGTGAATAATAAGAAACACTGACTGTAATTTTATCGAATCCATATATTGCAAGTAAATGATAATAGTGATATCTGAGATTTATTGGAGGAAATATTTCGTCATAATCTTTACTACAACAAGTAAAAATACTGGTCCTATTTCACTGAAAAATGTTTCAATCGAAAACTGCTTCATAATCAAACATTAAATTTGTTTAAAATTTTTTTTGAAAAAAGTAAAAAAAGAATGGTTATCGAATCTGTCAGCTTATTTATTTTTTTGAGACAATCTACATATTATCTTTCTTTCTCTTCCTTATATATTAATTAGAGTATAGCTTTATCATCACGAAGTTGGTAGTAGAAAGAAACAGATAGGTATCTGAACGAAAATTTCAGTTTCTCTCAAGACAATTCAACGAAATGTTTACTTCAGTTCCATAAAAATCTACTTTTTTTTTCCGAGAGACTCATGAGTTTCTTATATTTGGATTCGGCAGGCATATGTTGGACATTCTTTTATACGATGAATATATCAGCACTATCATGGTTGGCTACTTTTTATTTCCTTTTCTCATAGAAAGGTTTATATCGAATAGGGCTATCGAGTCCAAATTTCAAACAGTAGCAGTTCCTTTCATAAAACTCAGGAGTTGACAGAAGGTTTTGACTGAAAAATCAGGAAACTTTTATTGAAAGCAGGAATCTGTTTAGCTATCCTGTTAATGATTATAATATCGACTACATGAAGAAAGTCACAAAATGTAAGCAAAGTATTTCGTTGAGAAACGCAATAAATCAACTTTTTTTTTTGCGGTATTTTGTGTTTACTTATTACGACTAATAGAATGAAGATGAAAAGAATAATATCCATTATCCAATCGAAAACGGTTTAAATAAAATTATGAGTGAGTAAAAGAGCTGAATGAATAGAAAATAAATCTGTTCAGATAATCAATTGAAATGCAAAGACATGAGACGAGAAGGAGTATGATTTTTACTTTATTTTTTAAATATAATACTGGTACTACATCATATACGATACACCAAGTTACCACTTAGACTGTATAAGAAAAAAACTGACACTAATGAATGTTGTTTTTCGTTTGTTTTCCTAATTGTTCAATTAATTTTCTTCTTCTCTAATTATATTAAATAAATTGAGTTTCCAACATTACAATATTACTTGTTCCACTTCATTCAAACTTGAACATTGAGTAACTGCAATGAAGGATTTTATAGATATTGAACTTGTTTATTTTCTTAAATCAAGATGATTCAAAAAAAGAGTTGAATTTTATCTTGAATGGATATGTTAATTACGACTGATATAAAGAAGACGAATCAACATCTTTTGAGAAGATTTTCTTGAATTAAAAAACGTTTTAGCAAATGTAAGCATATTTGTAATAAATTAGTTTTTGTCTTTAATTTTTCGATATCAATCAGTTGTATGGTTTAATTGAACATTTACAATAAAATTAACAAATTTCAAATATCATTAGAGCTTTGTTTTTTTGTTTGTTTTATCTTGTATCTTTGGAATACTAACGATATTTGTTTTACTAGTTGAACGCTATTTTTGAAATGTTTACTTTCATAGATTAAAAGAATAAAATTCTATTTTTAGAACCTTTTTATTTCATAAAAGAAAGGAATAAGGCTTGGAATAAATTTTTTCAATAATTATTATATGACATTAAAATATTTTACAATACAGAAAACATATCTGGCGATTGTTTTTGGTTATTTATGTAAAAGAAATTCTACAAAATCATTGTAATTAATTGAGCCTGTTTTATTTGGATCTGCTTGACTAATCATATCATTAGCTTCATCTTCAGTTAATTCACTATCCCATAACTAAAATAATAATAATTAATTATTTTCAATTTACGTAATTATTTTAACTTACTCTAACAAATCTTTTAAGCTCGTTAGCATTAATTGTTCCATTTCCATCTTTATCAAAGACTTGAAACGTCTGTCGAAGTTCTTCTTCTAAATCTTGTGGATTAACATGTGTTGTCATTATTGATATAAATTCTCTCATATCAATTCCACCTGAATGATCTTCATCAGCTGAACCAACTAATAATTCAGCTTCATTCTCAGCAAAGGTCATATCTTTGGGAAAAAAAACCATTTATAATGTATTCAACAAGAAATATGTCTCAATTAGTTTATCGTCTTTGAGTCGAGACTATGTGCGCTATGTAAATCCTAATAAATTATAAATACTGCAAGAAGAACTCGGACCCTCGGCTTATTGCTGCTGAGATACTACATTTTAGTGGTATTTTTCAAGTCAAATCGAGGTCAATTCAGGAATAAATACTGCGAAAGTTCATTCAGAAAAGTTTCAAATGATTTCAATGTTCGTATCTTAAGATACAGTTACAATAAAAACTTGTCTTCTACAGTGTTCATATACATCAACAGATTTGATGTTCTTATTTCATGAAAGAGGCAAATCAAAATACCTAAGACCTTTAAAATAAATTATTCTCCTTAAGACTTATCTCTGTGCAAAGTTTCAAATCAAAATTTGAAAAAGATTTTTCCTTGTGTTCTTGAAAGAGACCATGTCATTAACTTGAAAAATACCGTAAACATCCTGTATCTTAGCAACAATAAGCTCGATGCACTTAGTCCAAACTCCAAAGCGATTAATCAGTTGTGGGATTGTTCTCATCATTTTTTTTTCTTTCGTGTCATTGAAACTACCTGCGGCTTGCGCAACTCGAATGATATCATTTGAGCAAACGTAACCTTTTGATTGTGAGTCCATAAGACTAAAAGCAGCTTGAAAATCTTGAACTTTCTCTGCTGATAATTCAGTAGATAAAGATAAATTTTGAACTCGAGTAGCATCTGCTGATTCATCTTGATTTGTATTATTCATAATTAATTCTCTAAAACTGAATTAGATATAATGTTTATCTTTCTTTTTTCTTTTCATAATGACAAATATCTCACATACTACTAAACACAAACACATCAAAGAAAAGAAAAAGATGAGCATAGATAACATTTGAATTAGAACAAAAAAAAAAGACAGGAAGAGTATTTCGATTAATAAAAACATACAAATGAATTTAATCTTTCTCTTAAGTACAGCAACATATAAATGAAAGAGAAAGATGTAAAAAAGTTTTGCGACCTATTTATATATATAGAAGAATTTATTGTATGTAACTGTTCCGGAATGACAATGCTCCGTGTTGCTTTCATTGTTGTTCATTTAATTGCTTGTAAAATTCCATTAACTTTTTTTGATGTTATTCGACCATCTTCTTCAACTGTTTCTGTTGTTTGTCCATTTTCTTCTACTCTGAAATTAAATAGAAATATATAAAAAAATTAAAAAAAATATTTTTAATTGATTTTTTTTTTCTTTACCGTGTCGTGACAATACGACGACCATTAATTACTTTAGTTGATTTCGTTGTTTTCTTTGATACTGGTCGAGAATTTCCACTACTAAAATACAAATAAATAAATAAAAAGTTTTCGAAATATATTCTTAAACAAACCCAAATGAAAAATTAACTGATGATATAGATCCAATATTATGTCTACCGAAATCATGATCGAATGGATCATGATCAAATAAAGACATTCGCATTGGAGAAAACATATTATCAAATAAAGCCATTTGTTGTCGATGTGGATCACGTCGTGATGATGATGAACTTTGATTTCCAAAACGATGAAGACGACTGTGTAAATCACCGAATGGATTCATACCAAAGCCTTAAATATATATATAATATTCTATTTACTATTTTAAATAAGTTAAATTTTCTAGTAAATATAAATCATTCATCTCATGCGCAACACAAAACATCACTCGGGATATTTTAGATTTGGGAGAAAAAAAAGAAAATTTAGAAAAAAAAGTTTCTATTTTTTCGTTTATTCTCTATCTCTCACCAACATGAAAAACATGACGCGTCCATTTGTCTAAAAGAATCAATTCGAAAAACACGAATGTGAACTTTTTTTTTTTCTGTTTCTAATTTAATATTATTTTGATAAAAATGCTAAAACTTACCAAAATCATCATCCATGCCAAAATGTGACATAAATTGTTCGAATATATCAAATGGATTGTGAAAATGAAATGTACGATTAAGAAAATCTTCAGAAAATCTCGAGTAACCACCATTTGATGAATATGCACTACTTCCATGACCATTTGATAAACCTGCTCGACCCAATTGATCATATCTTCGACGTTTATCTTCTACAATTCATTTTATATTTAATATTTATTGACAATAAGAACAACAACAGTATGGTTATTAGTCAAATATGTTCTCAGCGCCGTTCTACTTGCAATTAATACCAGTCGAGAGAGTTTGAGATGCTGAGTTTACTGAACATTACTCTGAGGGAAAAGGTCAAACAAAAATATATGTTCAGGAGAATGATGTGATGATAAATATCGGATGGATCTAGATGTGCCTTCATTTTCACATATTTACTTTGTTTAGATTTTAACTGAGAATAATAAGATTTCAAGCTCTATCGACTGGTATATGTCTCAAGTCAAATGATACACAGAGTATATTTTACTAATATCTGAAGAATAGTCATATTCTCCTACATTCGAAAATGTTTTTCTATGTTTAAACACTGACAGATTATTTGAGTCCGAACCAGTTGGAATTGTTCAATAGGATAACGAAATAATATTATCAATAAATGAAAGAAAAAAAATAATAATATGAAACAATTTAGAAGATTAGTCATTCTTTTGTGAATTCAATCAAATTTTCTTTTCTTAAATAGTTAGATTTGTTGAATTTCATTCAAATGTTGTATATGAAAAAGTATTAGTTTGATATGTATTAAATGAAAGTGGTAAATATAATTAAAAATTTTCTCTTTTTAAATGTGATATTAGCAAATCAATTAACAAACTGATTGTTTAATTACTGTAAACGAACATTATCTGTATGAAAGGAAAAAATAAAGACGACTATTGTTAATGCTATTTTTACCATTCGAAATATTTTATTTTTAATTTAACTTACTATCAGATAAAACTTCATAAGCTTCAGAAATTAATTTAAATTTTTCTTCAGCTTCTTTTTTATTTGAAAGATTTTTATCCGGATGCCACTAAAAAATATTATGTCAAATAAATACAAAAGAAAAACATCAGTAGATTTACTTTTAAAGCTAATCGACGATATCTAAAAGATAATAGAGAAATTATTTACAAAAATAGATTTATTTTGCAAAAAAAAAAACTTACGCTTTTTTCACTTCATCATCCGTAGATGTTTTCTCAATTTCAAGTAATTCATAGAAATCAGTCATGATTATTTATACTATAAAATACAAAAAAAAACGTGAATATATATATTAAAAAAATATTCTTTTATTTTCATATTATTTAGAATTTGTTTTCCGTTTGTTTATTTTCTTCTACTAGATACCTTATTTCTATATATCTCATTCTGCTTCGCAGAAAAACAACCCTTCCCCCCCCCCCTCCCATACTTATTAGGTATTGGTCTAACCATCGATGTTTAGTTATATGAGTATGTGTCTGGATACAGAACGAGAAAGAAAAAGAAAAGATATAGCTTCTTCTGTATTTATAACAAGAGCTCATATCATGATGATCATCTTTATCAGAAATTGATTAATCTATATACCTATCTGTAAATATTCGACAATGACAATGACGTTGATCAAGGAGAAATAAACCTTCACGTCACAATAATTTATTACTATTGTGATGATCAATCTAAATTGATGATAAATATATACATTTTATTGTTATAGAAATAATAGAAATACTCTTGTTTCTTCGATGATGATTGTGAATTTATTTCTAATTTAACGTAGATATATGTATATATATATATATATACACACACACAAGAATAGATCTACAGATTGACAACAAAAAATAATCAATCTGAAATAAATTATGGAAAAATTTTTATAAATAGTGACCGCCAACAATCGATGACATTAGATTATGGCTATCTTCGGATGTTTTACACTTAGACACTTGCCTTTTTCTTCTTTCTCTTCTACATTCTTTGCTGCCGTTTCTCCAAACATTCATCGCAAGAGATAAATGATCTGAAGCATTGTGCTGCTGTTCGCCTGCTGCGCTTATTTGACAGAATTACACAGATTTTCTCTCGTTAATCTCGAAGGATCAATAAACATACACATACGTCAGTGGTTCTCTTGAAACATTTCCGATGACATCAATAAAGAAAAAAACAATTACAAGCTGCCTACCCAACTTTTCCTTTCTAAAAAACAAAAGACAACCATACGCTTGTGAACGCAATGAACCTTAAGTCTAAAGCAAGTATTATTTTTACCAACTTTCACCTTGGATAAATCATTCGTTTAAAACAGCAGAACAAGTATCGTCCATATCAAAAATCTACCTGTCATATAAAAGTCACTTACCACGAAAAAACTTCATAAAAAACCTATGTATCTCTTTCGTTTTTTTCTTCTTTGTTTAAATCAGTAGAAAAGTCTTATACGTCAAATACTTCAAAATAAATAAAGAAATGATGATAAGAAGAAAAAAAAGAATGAATAGAATAAACTACGTCAAACATTATTGTTAAATGAGAAATTAATGCGTTCGAATTACCTACACTTTATTGGTCATAATTTCCTTTCGATTATTAAGAAAGAAAAGGCGACGACGAACAATATTTAGATGTCATAGAGGAGACGAAGGACAAGTAAATAAACAACAGTTGTGATATTATTATTATTCGATGAAATTTTCGCCAATAAAAAAACACATCTCGAATAAAAACAAATGCATTACTGTGTCAAAACATGAGTCATGTGCTCTCTGGACACAGTTTAAAAGGACATGTATATATTCATGTCAACTGATTCAATTACGTGTTAGATGAGTAACTTTTTACAATGCTTTTTTTTATTTGTTTTTTGATTGAGAAGTATTCTTCAATATTTTACAAATCATTTTTAGATTGTTTAAAATAAACGAATTTATTAAAAATGCGTTGGGAATTTAAAGTAAATAATCCATACGAAAGTCGACGAGCGGAAGGTAAGAAAATAGTTACTTTTGATTTACTGAATGATTTTCACTTTTAATTTAACATAGGTGAACGTATTCGTCGTGAATATCCAGATCGTTGTGCAGTCATTGTTGAACGTGCACCTAATTCACGTATTGCAGATCTTCCATCAAAAAAATATTTAGTACCGAATGATCTTACAGTAAATTTCAATAAGATTATATTTTTCTATGTTTTTTTTGAATAATTTTTCTTAAAGGTTGGTCAATTTTATTTTTTAATTCGTAAACGAATACAACTTCGACCTGAAGATGCACTTTTTTTCTTTGTTAATAATGTAAATTTTTATTTTTACTTTTTTGTTTTTATCTTTTATGCCTTTTTTTGTTAGACAATTCCAAGTACATCAATGACGATGGGAGAACTTTATCAACTACATGTTTGTATTTGAACTAAATTTATTTGATTAGATAATATATATATATATATATATGTATGTTTGAATTTTAGGCGGATGAAGATAAATTTTTATATGTGGCTTATAGCGATGAATCAGTTTATGGTTAAAAAAAACATTGCTCTTCATTTTAGAATGTATATAAAACATTTTAGTTCTTATTTGATGATGAATGAAGAAAATAAATGCTGAAAGTTTTGTCATGTTGATTTGTATATATGTATTGAAAATAATCGTCTTTGTTTTCGTGATTTTGCTTATTGTTTTTTGTCTTTGTTTGTAGTAGTTTTTATTTCTTTATCATCATCAAATATTGAAAATATTTATTCGAGATTATCAACAGAAATTATACAAAATAAAAGCTTAAATGTAAAGAACAAAACAAATTTATCTGAAGTATTTTTGTCATGTTTTGAAAAGGATATTATTCATTAAAAAAGAATATTCTCTTTTAAGTTATCTCGAAAAAAAAATATGAGTAAGCAAGGGAAGTAATAATCTACAAATAATATTCAGTGACCCGTAAGTATAACTTATTAATGTTGAAGATAACCAAATAGGCAACAGATGCAGAGAGTCAGTCATTGGGATTTATTTATGTTTCCTTTTTTAGAAAGAGAATGTGGGAAGTGTCTATATTCAGATTTAACATTGGATAGAATATCAATTCATGGAGAGTATGGTGTGATGCACAGATTCTATCTGAATAATAGACTAAAAATAACGATTAAAACAGATATAGAATGACTCAAACATGATTAATAGCAAGAAAATTCGACTAGGATTATTCAAGAGACTATGATTAATTAGAATATTGACACTATATAATTGTTTTCAATTTAAAAAAAAAAAAAAATTTTAAATCATATTTTATTTGAAAATACTTTTTAAGTCATTGTGAAAAATAATATGAAAGAATCTTGACAGTTTTGGTGATATATCATGTGGTATTCATAGACGACATTGTACTCCTTCAGATGTTCGAAGATAAATTTATGCAAATTTTGTTTTTAAACTCAGTTAGATACACTTATAAGTACTCTTCAATTATTTATAATTAGTAGTTTTTTCATCGTTGCTTTGTCCATGTTCAATAATGGTCTCTCTTCTAAAGGCTAGATTATTTCTTGACTATATGATATTCCAATGTGTTTGACATTGTGTCACAGAACAAGTGAGCACCAACATGAAACTTTCTCAAAAATTGCACACTGTCGAAGTCTACTATATATTTCACATATAAGAACTTTTATAAGAGCAGGAACTCTTCATCAACTGTCAAGATTGTCGTATAGTTAGTTAAGAGATAATTCAGAATTTGGAAAAGGGACCATCTTTAAGTATGAAGACAGCAATGGTGAAAAACTATTGATTATAGAAAATTGAAGAGCATCTATAATTATATTGAATTGACTTTAAAAAAAATACGGATAAGTTTATCTTCGAACATCTGAAGGAGTACAATGTCTAGAAAAGATAGATCATCAAATTCGGCAAGGCTCTTTCACCTAATGATGTGCGCTTACAATTTCGATAGATTAATTATGTGACCTATTTTATAGCAAATGTATGTGTTTGACTATTGAAAATCATAAATTAAGTTAGTATATCCTATGAATAAAAAAAAACATCATCAGTTTTCTAAGAAACATATGCTAAAATAATATTGAATATAATTGATACATATTGAAGTAAAACTTTTAATATATTTAACTCAAGAAAGAGTCTTTGAAAAAGAAAGCATAAAACTACGTACTTGAATATTCATTTTTGATGAACTTGAAGTTAAAGTTCATATTTCGATCTCATGGTCAAGTTAACATCATATTTTATTTTATTTCTAAAAATAAATCACCGTTAATAATTTAAATGGCTAAAATTATTCTCGCGTCATACAGGGTGAAATTTAGTTCCATAGACTTTCATAGTGCAACATTAAGTCATAAGAGATAATGTTGATATACTAATATAAGTTTTAATCCTATTATTAGATTATCTATCTGTCGTTTATAGAACAAATTCAAGGGTTTGGTCGGAAAAATCAGGATGAAGACGCAAATTATATATTTCAAAAAGAATATCATTATGTCTTAATATACGAATTAATTTATAATTAGTTAGATATTGTTGAACGAAAACTTTCACGAACAATAGTTTTGATAATAGAATATTTATTAATTAACTATAATCTATCAATTAACATTTGATCAACCTCATAGATATAATCTATAAGAATTTGTCCATTTTCTCATCAGTATATCAATCGCACAAACCAAATTTATTGAGTTTTTCAGTTTCTTTGTCTATTGATTAACTTCTCACGATAATCATTAATTAAAATTTTATATAATGAGAATCAATATTAAACAACTGACGTTATCAATGAAATGTTTTATCATGAATAACAACTAAATTTTCTACTCTAATCAATGCTTCAAAGATAGTACCAGAGTCAGCTGTTTTTAAAAAATAATTTATTATCATATATTCGATTGATAACATTACCTAGAAGCTTTGACCTGAGTAAAATCAATAGATTAAGTGGATGATATGTATTATCATGTTTGAGTTCAAGTAAATGGAAATATTTCGTTTGTTAACCTTTAAATAATTCATTGTAATAGGATACTTCATGGGTTTTTAGCGTTTGATTTCAAAATATTTCTGAATGCTCAATCTATTAAGTTGTCGAAAAAACTTTCATAGAACTCTATAGAAACTGGGTAGGTACTAGAGCGCCTGCCTGGTAAGTTCCGATGCACTGGGACAATTGCTAACAGGATACTCAAAAGACATCCTGCTGACAACTGATCTAATACATGGTATGCAGTGAATTCAGCACATTTACTAGGGAAGGTTTCGCCGACGATCATAGATAGCATCATTTCAAGAAAATTAATTAGACTAAATTTACTTCATTATTGGTGTATTGCTTGTGGTAAACATAGTGTTGGGGATGTAGTAAAAAGGGAAGACAACTATTATGTATTTTGACATTTGTCCAAAATGTATTTATTCAATGATTTTGTGTTGTCTTTTTCCGTAGTCTATTTACAATCGTATGATTAGTACCACAGTAAAATTTTATTAAACATAAGAAAAAAAGAAAATATAAAATTATGAAAAAAAGTAAGTATGTGTTTGGCAAAGATTCATAAAGTCATCCAATTAAATTATTCTTCAATATTTATTTAAACTTACTTTTTTAAGATTATGTTTACATGAGTCTTTGTATTACATACACAATGTATTTTGATAATTAAAGATATTTCTTCTAAGGCAAAAAACACTAAAGTTTTAGACAAATCTAACTCATATACTTTGGATGTGATTGAATAGATGTTAAAATGAATAGTCTTTTGTTGATTATATATTATTTTAGATCTATTCTTAATGTAATTAGTATTTCAATCGAAATTTATTATTCTGAAAAAAGTTAAAAATATTACTCAAATATGGAATGACTAATACATTTTAGATTTGTTGAACATTCATTTTGAATTTTTGATTTATGCGAATTGATTTTATCGATTAACAATTCCTTACAAATCTATGACGGTTTGTGATATATTTAACTATGTTAAATAAAATATTTTTCAGTATGAACAATGGATTACTATAAGATAATGTCCTTAGTATAATGATCATTATTTTATTGGTCCAGGGGTGAATGAAATTTATCTATACATGTGGATAAATCGTGCGAAGAAAAAAGAAGAAAAACAAAACGAAATTTATTGTTATCTTCATGTTATTTTACAAATAACATAAATCATGACTAGTAAACATCATAATCAATCAACTCGTCGTCATCCACTTAAACGTGTACGTCTAGACAATGAAAACCAAGGATTTCTTACATCTTCAAATGGACGAATTAATAAAAAATTTTGCCATCATTCTTCTGAAGGTTATTTTCAATTATTGTTATTGAAATGAAATCATACTTTCTTTCTTTTTCTTTTTTTATTTGTTGAAGATTCTGCATTTGTCGACTCAGAAAAATCGTCTGATGAACGAGCATATGATCTTTTTCATAAGTAACTTATCTTCAGTTTCTTTCTCTTAAGATTATTTTAATTTTTGTAAAAAAAATTTTTTAGCGAATATTTTTCTCAATTTCGTCCTTATTTTAAACATTATTCAATTGCTATACAATTTATTGAACATTTATGGTTAAATATGATTGAATCATCTAAAGTATCATTTGTCAAAAAAAAACTTAAAGAACATGGAGCTTGTGATTCATCTACAAAATGTTATAATGATACTGATACATTTTCTAATGATGGTATGTCATGATAAAAATAAAAATATTTTAATAAAATATTTCTTTATTAATAATTAGAAAATGATTCTCAAATAAACAAATCAATAAATGAATCAAATCGAAGTATTTCAACATTAAATGCAAATAATAAATATAGTAGAGGATTTATAAATGATCTTTTATCTTATTGTAAACATTGGATAACACCTCGATTTATTGATAAAAAGTAAGTTTACAAATTTTCTTAAGAATTATTTTAATAATTAAATATTTGAATAGTTCATCATCAAAGAAGATAACACCACTTCGTCGATCATCGCGTATTCGTCGAGCACCAATCAAATGTGTTTGTTCGACATGTGTTACAACACGTGCTAATGAAGAACATTCATCTTCGACATCAATTATAAATAACGACCTACGTCAGTTTTCATTGAATTTTATCATTATTATTAATGAATTTTAATTAATTATTTAGAACAAAAAAGTTTTCGTCAATTAATTGATCATTATCAACAACTGTGAGTTAATTATTAATAATAAGAGTCTTTTGTTTTTTTCTATTTTTATTTGTATAGTGATGGTCAATATGCTGACATATCCAATTCATCATTATCGGTTAACAATGATAATCAAATAAAACTCAATGAAACAAATGATAATCAAATACAAATGCCATTATCTGAGGTTAGTTTTTATTAATTTTTCAAAATAATCTATAATGAATATTTATATGTGATTAAATAGATCATAGAAATACCGGCACATGTAACATCATCACCACCAATCATTCCAATGGTATCACTAGCCAGTAATGATCTTCAATTACCATCATTATCA